GGGCGGCGCGCAAGTGGCTGGGGCGGCGCGCAGGGCAGCATTGGGCCGCGGGCGGGCTCCTAAGGCGGCTCGCGGGGCAGCAGTGGGCCGCACACGAGCTCCTACAGCGACGCGCGGGGCAGCAGCGCGCCGCGCACGCTCCTAAGGCGGCTGCCGGGGCAGGAGCGGGCTGCGTGGGCAGCGGACGCGACGCGTGGGGCCTAAGCGAGCTGCGCGCGGGCGGCTTAAGCGGCGCGCGGGTCGGCAGCAGGCTGCGCGGGCGGCTGACGTGGCGCGCGGGGCCGAAAACGGGCTGCGCGGGCTGCTTATGTGGCGCGCACTAAAAAAAAAAAGGTACGCGCGCGTGCAGCCGAGGCGCGCGCGGGCAGCAGGCAAGGCAGGCAGGTAGGCAAGGCCGTAGGTGAGGTAACGTTGTAACAGGTGGGCCCTAATCTTAGCTCCTGAAGACCTACTGCTCTAGATACCATCTTAGAAGCTAGGCAGGAATGAGTTGACTATCGAGGGATTTTTGTACAAGGAAGAAACCTAAGGGGTTGTACCCCACAGTATCTGCCCCACTACAGCCTACCCAAAATTATAAAATATGTATATGTTTGACACCTAGGAGCGATCAACTACTGATCGCAGCAGATCTTAAGCAAGACCATCTTCCAGGCAGAAACATTCACTACTTTCAGATATAGTACAACCAAACATCAGCCCACCTCAGCACACACACAGCCCACCGAAGAAACAAAGAAAAGCAACAAGAGGCAGCCCACCAAGAAAGAAAAGGAAAGGCAAAACCTATATACTCAAAAGCAATGCAGTGTACGAAACCCAGGCGTGTGGTGTCAACCTCTCCACCTTCTGCCGCAAACCACCATCGCTCTGTTCCGCTCCTCACCTCCGCTCACCACCGCCTACATCCCATAATCAGCAACGGGGCTGAGCTCCTTGGCGCGCGCGAACGTGGTGTGAGCGCAGTCCACGGCGAGCACAGAGCTGCTCTCATACGACCGCGGCGTGCCGTCCAGAAAACCCTTCCCGCTCTCCCCATCCGCGGAGATCGGGTGGTGCAGCGACGCGATCAGCTTCTGGAAATCCGCAGCGCGGCGCGAGTGGTCGTCACGGTAGGTCTGCCCCAGGACGCCATGGATTTCCTCCGTGTGCTCGAGCTCCACGATCCCGACGTTGATGTGCGCCTCGGCGTCGGTCGGAGTCTGGAGTTTCGGATTCGCGACGCGCAGGCGAAGGTCCAGAGAGACGAGCCCGTCGATGGAGAGAGTGTAGTAATCCACGTCGTAAGGGCCTTCCTGCTCGAGATCCTTGAAGGTGATAGTGAGTCCGCCTGTAGCGGAGACGGAGTTTCCGACCGCCATGCGTTTGATGGGGTATCCGTCGATCTCGATGGTCTTCATGAATCCCGCGCCGCGCTCCTGCTGCTTGCCGCTGCGCGCCGCCAGCCGCACCTTGTGGGTCTTACCCTTGGCTGTCCACACAATACCAAGCTCCCTGTCGCCATGACATCAAGAAAGAGGGAAAATCAGACTGAAGGGAGGGGGCGAGAGGAGTAAAGGAAAGTTCAAGAACCATTCAGAACCAGTGATTATGGCAATGTGAAAGAACAAATTGCGAATTCGCGTACTTGATCCACGTGTGCACGGCCTTGCCGTCCACCACCAGCGCGGCGCCTTCAGTGCGGTCGTCGTAGTACCCGCGCAGCAGCATGTTCACGTGCAGGTCGCGGTCCGTGAGTAGGCAGAAAGTGCGGTCCGGGCGGCCGTTGAAGTCGAAGTGCGTGCCGTGCGCGCCCACCAGATGCGGGTCGTTGAGGATCTCCGGCGCGCTGTTGCACTCGCCGCCAAGGCGCACCTGCAAGGGAGTAGCATCGCAGATCGAAGCGGTTGATTGAAACAATGACGGAGAATAAGATTTGGAACAGGAATCAAGCGAAATTGACGGACGGACGGACGGACCTGCAGGGGCACGGGCTTGGTCTCCGTGGCGTACTGCGCGATGATCTGCCCGCACGTGTAGTCGATCTCGTCGTGCACCAGGAAGCACGCGCCGGGGGTCCTGCCACGCGCGCACAACGCACAACAGACACACCGCCGTCGGTGAGAGACAGACAAAAGGACTAAGCCCCCACTGGAGGCTTTCGAGTCGGAAGGATTGAGACGCTCGGATGATCTAGAATGCGGCGTGCAGGAAATGCAGAGGGGCGTTCGCACTAGGTCGCTTGGAGCGCACTCACTTGGTGCCGTCGATAGTGATATCGGGAATGAACTGCCAGTATGTGCAGCGTGGCGTGGCGGCGCACGTGTTGCAGCACGTCTGCGGAGATGCCTTCTTCACCGTCAGCGGATTTCCCTTCACGTAAATCTCCACTCCCAGCTTGTGCTTCAGCAGGTTGGATGTCTTCCACTTGGCGGGAATCCCGCCCTTGCTGCAGTTCGCGGGCGTGCATGCGCCCTGCCCGGGCACCGGGAGATGCGGGGGGCACTTCATGCGGTTCCACCCGGCCTTCTTCACATCGGGAATGGCGAGCGAGTCCTGCTTCACGTCCACGAACGTCGCGCCCGCATCGTCCTGAGCTAGGACGGCCTTGGGAACGTCCGCGCGGAATCCGTCGTCCACCTCGCCGTGCCCGTCGGGCTTGGGGTTGTTCACCACGCTCGTGATGGACCCTGCGGATTTTCCCACCTTGGGCGGGCCGTCGGATCCGCCATCGGAGGAGGAGGAGGAGGAGGAGGATGAGGCGTCGGCGCGGGACACGGGGATGTTGATGGAGACTGCGAGGACGAGGAGAAGGACGGAGCAGATTACGGTGCGCCTGCTGCCGATGGTGCAAGCCATCTTCTTTCGGCTGAATGTGTTCAAGGGGCGGAGGAGAGCTTGGAGGATGATCTTCGGAAGACCGTATAGAATCAATGCAACAGTAGGGCTGAGTTTGGCTCGGGAGGAAAAGTGAATCTCACTCCTCAAAGAAAACGAATTCTTCTGGAATGCTGATGATCAATGAATGCCTGAGAGTCAATTGAATGAGGAATCCATTATATAGCTGGTCTGAATTCCATGGGCGCGGCGGCGACAGCGAGCCTAGTCAGAGATTCACCTTCCAGATGAGAGAATGTTGTTATCAAGAACGGCCGTTTCCCAGTGAGGCAATGGTCGGCAGGTTGGTTTCAGGTGGTAAGCTAGCGCTTGGCTACTTCATCAACCTGTTTTGCAAGGCGCAGAAGACAAATTCAGCAAAATGTGCATTTGCTAACTGTGCAGGATTCTATGAGATTTGTATTGCGGTTTAGTACGATGCAGCAATGTGTGTGTCAATTCATTCCGAAATTCCACCCTCCAAGAATCGGGGTCGCGGTTCGACAGAATTTCAGGCGACTCCGCAAATGCATGCCAAAGATCCAGCCAATCACACTAGGGACCAGAGGGGTTTGGACGGCGGTACCATGACAGCCAGCGTTACACGCAAGGCTGGGCTTTGGGAACCTGTTAGCTTTGCTGACGAACGACTGCGAAGCGGTTACGTGTGGTTATCGTGATTTCTGCATTGTCTGACGCCTTTCCACAAAGTCCGCTTAGAGTTGCTTCGAAAGCATGACTCGGTCTGTGTGAATAAAAACATCAAAACGTACGCACATTTGCTTTTGGTTATGAGTCTCGTTATGCCATACTAGTTGCATTTGGCCCAACTTAAATTATTATAATTTTAATTTAACTTTATAATTTCAATTTTATCTTCAAGTATTTTTTAAGTCCGAAATCCTTTTAAAAATGTGCAAATATTCTAATATACGTACCTAGGACACGCTTACACCATGAAATATTTCTAGGACTCTAGTAGCAATGCATCACAAAGGGGTACGACGAGAGGAACTTGCGTGCGAGTCCTGCACCCGAGTAGCTTTTGACACACCGACTTCGTGCTGCTTCATGATTCGCTGAAGCCCCACTCAGCGTGGAGGCCAACGGCAAGGACACTTGGACGAAACAGAAATCATGAACCTGCCATTTGGCGAGGCCAGTGGGGGAAGAGGAGGCTTTCCTCACTTGAAATTGGCGCGCTTTGTTCCCCTGGACACAATTGGACTTGCGCAGCACCAAGGGGAAAATGATCAAACTGGGGCCGAAGAGTGCCAGAGGGATGACCGAAGTAGAGTCAAAAAATCTCGACCGTAGGATTTTCGACCCTGAGCTGCCCAAGAGGCTAGGCGAACAAGCCGAGCCGTAACTAAAAGAGAAAAGCTAATAGCACCAAACTTTGTGTCAAACTTATTGAAAAAACGGTTACCACCGCCGTCTACTACTACGCGCACATCGCGTTCTTCTGGAAGTAAATATTGCTGTGTTAATTTGTGAGTCCAAAAACAAATTCATTATGGGTGATAAATATCACTCCCTGATCGGAAACGCGCAGAAAAAAGAATATTACCCATTCGGAAATGGATGCGACCAGGGAGGCATCAACCCTAAACACAACTGAGGTCCCGTTTTTAGGGTTGATCCATCGCGAAAATGCATCCAGGTTCTCCTTCGGGTTTTAGTTTTTTTGCTGCCCTAAGAGTTTCTGGCTTGCTAAACGACGCTATTGGGTGGAAGGTGATGAATCAGTAAACATTTCCATGTAAAATGACGCGCGAGCGGAAATGCAAACTGTTAACAAACATACGTTCAATAAATAATACGTCTATGCAAAAACCTTTGAAAGCAGTGGTCTGGTTAGTTTCGGGCCTCTTGGCCCTTGTTCGAACACCTTCCTGGCACCGTTCGGCCCCTGTATGATCTTCTCCCGCACCAGGGCAGTACCTTGGTAATGGAGTTTGGCCCAAAAGCTGGAAATCACAATTGCGCTTTGGGCAGCCGTTCAACCATTCTATTGCAGGACAGCAGGACATTCTCCGTTATTTGTTTCGTGTTCCTCCTCGACCTTCGAAATCTGTTCTCGATTTCGTGGTCCGCTGACTAAGCCACGAGCGTGTGAATTGATATCCACAGGCGCAACAACGATGGCGGTCAGGTCGCTATCTCGTGCGTGTCACACCATTCCAGCATCCAAGCTTCCCTCTCCCATTCTCGGGTCGCCTCTACAGCGAAACGCACCAGCGCGCGTGCGAGTAAATCGTCTCTACCCGTCCGGCGGACAAGAGAGCAGCATCATCACGCGTGCAGCTTCCACCAGCGGTGCGTGGAGATGAAGGGGAGTTGCACTGATTGTGGCCGATACGACGCGTCCAGGCAGACTATCATGAAAGCGCGTAGCGCTGCGAGCATAGGATCGGAGTGAACGGGGACTGACGAGTGGAGGGGAACGGCCTGCAGTTAGGCTGGTGTCCTGAAAGGTTTCTTAGCGTATGGTGGGGTGCGAATAGTGCGTCAGTGATGTGTGCGAAGCCTAGTTTCTAGATGCCCACCAGCTCTAGTGTCACCAATTACACGGCGTGCGCGTGTTCCTGTGTGCGTATGCGCGGCGCTCTTGCCGCCCGGCCACGCGATTACGTCCCGGAATCACGAAGACAAACCCCGTGTGCGTTCGTGTGTGCGTGTGTGCGCGCGTCGACGTGTGCAGGAACACGAACGTCGCGCCGCTCAGCGTCCTCCTCGTCCTCCTCATCCTCCTCATCCGCCTCGTCTCCCTTCGACGCCTTCAATGGCGCAGTCAACATGACCGACGCGCAACGACAAGAATTTGCCCGAGGTGAGCCGTCGCGCCCCTCATCTCCACTTACCTCAGCCCGTATACTTGTAGATGCGCCATGCGCCCGTTCAAAGCTTCACCTTTCCACCGCAGCCCCTTTCCGCCGACCAATTCACCTCCCCCTTCCCACTCCGCACCAACCCTCCGTTCCGCCCAACCCCCACCACTCTCCCCTCCCCCCTCGTTCCCCATCCCCCCCCCCCATCTAACCCCTTTCCCCGCGCGTCCCGTCAGAGCGCGCGCAGCAGCTGGTGCGGCTGATGGAGGACATAGTGGGCGTGGCCGTGAAGACCGGTCCTCGTGGCGCCACGCGCTTCGTGCAGGGCGTGCAGGCCGTTGCCGCTGTCGGCTCCGACTGGCTGCTGCAGCAGCTCCAGGTGCTGCCCTCCGCCCTGGTTTTGAGATTAGGAAAAGGAAGAAGAAAAAGCTCATCCTGATCATACAAGCCGTTGCTGCTGTCGGCGCTGACTGGCTGCTGCAGCAGCTCCAGGTATCGCCCTCCGTCGTAGTCTTGAGATTTGAGGTGAATGCAGCCGCTGCTGTTGGCTTTGATTGGCTGTTAAAGCACTACAGGTGTAGTGTAGCCATCCGCCCTATTCTTTCTCGTACTCATTCTCTCCACCTTCCACCCTTGCTTCAGCAGCTGTGCTCCCTGCCTCCCATGTTGCCCATACCATCCCTCCTCATACCATCCCTCCTCATACCATCCAATCCCTTCTTTTTCCCATCCTATCCCAACCGTCGTATCTCTCCCTCCCCCTTTGCCCTCGCCGTTCCTCCCTCCCTTAACCTCCCCTCCCCTCCTCCTGCTCCGGCCCCCCAGGCAGTGCAGCAGCAGCAGCGCCTGGCGCCATCCACATCCCCAGCATCGTCCATCCAGCTCCCAGGCCCAGCGGAACTCCGCCGGCTATTCGAGCGCCTGGGCGCCACGTACATAAAGCTGGGGCAGTTCATAGCGTCCGCGCCCTCGCTCTTCCCCCCGGAATACGTCACCGAGTTCCAGACGTGCCTCGACAAGACGCCGCCCGTGCCGTTTGCCACGGTCAAGGGGATTATCGAGAGGGAGCTGAAGCGCCCGCTGGGGGATGTGTATGAGTTCGTGGATCCCACACCGCTCGCTTCAGCCTCCATTGCTCAGGTGGGCTCACCGCTGCTACTGCTGGTGGTGATGGTGGTGGTGATGATGGTGGTGATGATGTTGCAGCTACTGCCGCTGCTCTGGCTACCTTGGTATTTAACTGTTTGGGCCTGTTTGGACCTCCGCATGATGTTTCCCGTCTGTAGTTCGATATCTTCAACTCTTCGCAGCCTGATTTCACTCTCCTTCTCCTTCGTCTTCTCACTCGCCCTCGCGTTTCCCCTCTCCTTTCCATTTCATCATCCGTGCATCTGCTAGCCTGTCTGACTCCGACCTCTGGCTCCCCTCTCTGACGCCACTCTCTGACTCGCCTCTCTTCGAACCCTCTCTCCGAACCCTCTCTCCGAACCCTCTCTCCGACCCCTCTTTCCGACCCCTCTCTCCGAACCCTCTCTCCGAACCCTCTCTCCGAACCCTCTCTCCGAACCCTCTCTCCGAACCCTCTCTCCGAACCCTCTCTCCGAACCCTCTCTCCGAACCCTCTCTCCGACCCCTCTCTCCGACCCCTCTCTCCGACCCCTCTCTCCGACCCCTCTCTCCGACCCCTCTCTCCGACCCCTCTCTCCGAACCCTCTCTCCGAACCCTCTCTCCGAACCCTCTCTCCAAACCCTCTCTCCGAACCCTCTCTCCGAACCCTCTCTCCGAACCCTCTCTCCGAACCCTCTCTCCGAACCCTCTCTCCGAACCCTCTCTCCGAACCCTCTCTCCGACCCCTCTCTCCGACCCCTCTCTCCGACCCCTCTCTCCGATCCCTCTCTCCGACCCCTCTCTCCGACCCCTCTCTCCGACCCCTCTCTCCGAACCCTCTCTCCGACCCCACTCTCTGAATCCCTTCCCCTCCCACTTGTGGCAGGTGCATGCGGCGCGACTCAAGGGCACTGGGGCGGAGGTGGTGGTGAAGGTGGTGAAGCCGGGAGTGGATGACACGCTCACCACGGACCTCAACTTCGTCTACGTGTGTGCTCGAGTGCTCGAGTTCCTCAACCCCTCCATCGAACGCACCTCCCTCGTGAGTTCCCTATCTGTCCAGTCCTGAGACGTCTCAAAACTGGAGGATCACTTAAGTAAGGCTTCAACTTCGTCTACGTCTGTGCTCGCGTGCTCGAGTTCCTCAACCCCTCCATCAAACACACGTCCCTTGTGAGTGCCTTTTCTCCCTCTCCGGGTCTGCGTCCCTTTCCCGACTGCCGTCCCTCGTCTGTTGCCTCGTTCCCACACAATGTTTCCCCTCCATGTCTCTGCCTTCCCTGAAGCACTTCCTCGTTGCCTTTCTCTCACTCCCCCCCTTCCCCTCCCCTCCCCTCCCCTCCGTTCCCCTCCCCTCCCTTCCCACACGATCCTGTTCCTCCTCGCACGTGTCTTCTTGGTTATCGCCTCGATGTCCCCTTTTCGAGTCCACTGCTTCTTGCCAATTGTGCATTGCACCCCACGCTTTTCCCATCATCCTCATCCACATGACGCCTTGACGCTTTCCCTCCACACCAGGTGGGCATAGTGCAGGACATCCGCACGTCCATGATGGAGGAGGTGGACATGGGCGTCTCTTCTCCCCCCACTCATGCAATCCCCTCACTTCCCCTTCCTTCCCTCCCCTCCCTGCCCCCCCCCCCCTCCACACCAGGTGGGCTTAGTGCAGGACATACGCACGTCCATGATGGAGGAGGTGGTTAATCCTAATGCTCCTCCCCTCGCTTTTCCCCCTCCTTCCCCCATTCTTATCACCACCAGGTGGGCATAGTGCAGGACATCCGCACGTCCATGATGGAGGAGGTGGACATGGGCAAGGAGGCGCGCAACCTCGCCGCCTTCTCCGCCTACCTTGACTCCTCGCCCTCGCTGCGTGCGCTCGCCACGTGCCCGCGTGTGTACGCAAATGCGTCCTCCACTCGCGTGCTTACGATGGAGCGCGTGCGGGGCGTGCCGCTGACGGACCTGGATGCGCTCAAGGGGATCGTGCCTAATCCTGAGGCGACTCTTATTGCGGCGCTGAACGTGTGGTAGGTGGGAGGGAAGGGAGGGTGGGTGGTGTGAGGGGCGTGCCGCTCACGGACCTGGATGCGCTCAAGGGGATTGTGCCAAATCCTGAGGCGACTCTTATTGCCGCGCTCAATGTGTGGTAGGTGGGAGGGAAGGGAGGGAGGGAGAGAGGGAAGTAAGTCGCTTTTTGAGTCGGCTAATCGACCCATCACACGCGGACTCTTATTGCGGTGCTGGACGTGTGGTAGGTGGGAGGGAAAGGTGGGAGGGTGGGAAGTAAGGCAGGAAGGATGGGTGGGTGGGCAAGAGCTGTACGGTGGTGTGGGTGGTGTCTGTTTTGGTGGGTGGTTGGTGTGTGTGGTGTGTGTGTACGCACACGCGTCCTCCACATGCGTGCTCACCATTGGAGCAAGTGAGAGGCGTGCTGCTCACGGATTTGGATGGCTCAAGGCCATTGTGCCGAACCCTGAAGCCACGCTCATTGCTGCACTCAATGTGTGGTGGGTGGGAAGGGGGGGTGGGTGGGTGGTGTGTGGGTAGGTGTGGGTGTGTGTGTGTGGTGGGTGGATTGAGTAGTGGGCCTGATAGTGCTGTTTTGTACCGAAGCATTTATCCTGTGAAGCTTTCATGCCATGCTGGAGTTGTGAACGTGCGTCTATCTCCTTGCCCACCCCCTCTCCCTTTCTCTCCCCGTGCCCTGTGCGAGTGCATGGCAGGTTCGGCAGTCTGTTCGCATGTGACACTTTCCATGCGGACGTGCATGCAGGCAACCTCCTCGTGCTCAATGACGGCCGAGTTGCCTTCATTGACTTTGGTGCGTTGCCTCGACCGTTGCCTCGACCACTGCCTCGCCCATTGCCTCGACCATTGCCTCGACCATTGCCTCGCCCACAATCCTTATCTCTCCCTGCTCCATGCTCGTCCTGCTCACGCCCCGCCCATGCAATGAACAAGTCTGCACTGCAACACACAGACACACGCACGCATGCACACATGTCACGACCACGCCTCCCACCTGTCCATGTCTCTTGTATCACCCCATGTGCACACATCGTGGGAAATGGCCGGGCATCCTTCGCATGTCTGTCTCTCTCTCTCCTCTGCCTCTCCCCTGCTACTCTGTCTCTGCCTTTACTTGCTACTCCGCCTCTCTTCCTCCCCACCGCCTCTCTCCCACCCCCTCTCTCTCTCTGCCCCTCCCTCACAGGCATCGTGGGGAGGGTATCCCCAGACACGTGGGCGTCAATACCCTTCTGCCTCACTCATACCCTTCTGCCTCTCACTCATACCCTTCTGCCTCCACCCTCCCTTCCATGTCACTCTGCCTCTCCGCCTCTCCACGTCTCTCTCCCACCGCCTCTCCCACCGCCTCTCCCCCCGCCTCTCCCCCCGCCTGCGGGTATCCCCAAACACGTGGGCATCACTTGCAGCTTTTCTCGCATTCATAGGCTCAGGCGACTACACCACCATGGCCACGGCGCTCATCGGCATGGGCGCCACTGCGGACGGCCGCACACACCCTCCCTTCCACGCACTCCTCTCACTCATACCCTTCTGCCTCCACCCTCCCTCCCATGCCACTCTGCCTCTCTGCCTCTCCACGTCTCTCTCCCACCGCTTCTCCCCCCGCCTCTCCCCCCGCCTGCAGGCATCGTGGGGCGGGTATCCCCAGACACGTGGGCGTCACTCGCAGCTTTTCTCGCGTCCATAGGCTCAGGCGACTACACCACCATGGCCACGGCGCTCATTGGCATGGGCGCCACTGCTGACGGCCGCACCATCGACACGCGCGCCTTTGCCAACGACCTGCGGCAGCTGTTCGAGGCCGTAGAGGACCTGGACCCGCAAGTGATAGTCACAGCCACGCAGCAGCAGCAGCAGCCGGGGATGGGGCGAGGAGGAGGAGGCATGCCGGGGGGAGTAGGAAGAGGAGGAGGCGGTGCCACGGCGACCGTGTCTGCAGCGGTGGCTGTGGATGAGCAACAGATCAACACGCTGCTGCTGCAACTCGTAAGTTACTATGATGTTGGAGGTACTTTTATGTGATTCTCACCAATGACAGTCAGTGTCTGCAGTGGTGGCTGTGGACGAGCAGCATCTCAACATCCTGCTGCTGCAACTCGTAAGAAGCCATGTGAGCAATTGAGCAACTGAGCATTCCATAGCATAGGCTCTTTTATGCTTGATACTAGACCTTTAAGCCCCATGTGCCCCCATTGTGACCTCGTATCTTATTGAATCCCCCTCCGGCCCTCGCCCATCTGCCCTGGCCTCTCATTTCTCCCTTACCCACTCCGCATCCCTCCCCTCTTTCCCTCCACCTCCCACCCACCCTCCCCCTCCCCCCTCCTCCTCTTCCCCCCGGCCCTTGTAGGTGAGAGTGAGTGAGGGGTACGGCCTGCGCTTCCCGCGGGAGTTTGGGCTGCTGCTGAAGCAGCTTCTCTACTTTGACCGCTACACGCGTCTGCTCGCACCCTCCCTTAATGTGTTGGATGATGCTCGTGTGAGCATCAGACCCCCACCCAATTCCGGGCGTGGGGGACCTGGAGGTATGGGGGGTTCTTCCTACCCAGGCTATGGACGTCCAGCATTTTAAGTTACCACTATAAAGAACCATTGTTCTGTAGTTGTATATTGATTGTTCTTGGGAGGTGTTATGATTACAAGAACAAAGCACATCATGAAACCATGCGTATCATCATTATTCCAAGTCAGTTTGAATTTTGTAAGCTCCTAGAAAAGATGGTAATAAGCTGGAAAACGTTACAACTCCACCATCACCACCACCTACCTTGTAGCGATATTTGAATCTCCTGAAAGATAATATCATTGCGTAGTCTTTATACCTCGTCCATCCAGAAGCAGCTGCCTGGTAAAGCGGCCCTAGTATAGCAATGTTACAGCGATTCTTGAGGCGCTTAAAATCCTTAGCTTCTCACAAAAACACTCCGGTTTTTCAACCCTCGTCCAGTAGCAACTGCCTGGCGAAGGGCCCTAGCGTGGCAATGTTGCGGCGCACCAGTGTGAGCAGCACTCCCCTCCATGGGGGCACTGCCCTCCCTGCTGCTGCCTGGAGGTGTACATGGTGGGCATGGTGGGCACGGACAAGAGGGAAGAGGAAGGGGGGGTTGTTGGGGGAAGAGTTGAGTGGGGAGTGATGTAGGAATGGAGGAGAAGGGAGGGGAAGGAAGGGGAAGCGAGGGGAAGCGAGGGGAAGGGCGAGCAAGGGCTAAGAAGAGTGTAGCAGTGAGAGAGAAGGGAGGGCATGTGATTGAGGTGTGAAAGGAACGGTTGGTGAAGAGTGGGCGATATGTTGCAGTGATGCAACGTGGAAGAGGAAAGGTAGTGGCAGTGGTGCACACAACATACACGACACAGCAGACAGAACATGAAGCAAACACACACACCAGACACGAAGCTTAGCAGACGACAGAACACAAAGTAACAGCACAATCAACAGACACTAACCTCTCGTCTCTTGAGACGTGTGAAACAGACACTGACCTCCTGAGGTTGTTGTTTCTGCTGCTGCTGCAACAAGGCCTGAAGGAGAGCACTAGCAGCAGGTGCAGTTGAATTGGAAGCAGTAGTGTCTTGAGTGACGGGAGCAGCACTGCCGCCTATGCCAGCTTTGGAAGGCGGGTGGAGAATTAGTTTCGGAGCACCAAAGTTCCCTGCTGTAGCACCATCAGACCCGGCAGCAGCAGCACCGGTAGGTGCAAGAGGAGGAGGAGGAGCAGCAGCAGAGCCAGCCGCGGCTGTTTTCCAGGGCGAGAAGGCAAAGAGGGGCCCAGCAGCAATAGCATAATCCATGCAATGCCAAAGAAGCAGCAGCAGATCAGCAAGGTCGCGGGGGGACAGCAGGTGTGCGAGAGAGGCTGCACAGGCGAGAGGGGTGGGCAGCCATGCAGCAGCGTGCATGTAGGAGGAGAGGGCAGGCAGGCGGTGCAGCCAGGGGGGTGAGCAGGGCGGAGAGGAGGAGGCTGAGGAAGGGGGATTCGAGAAGGGAGGTTGTGAGGGGATGCTGGAGGCGGTGGTGGTGCCGGTGGTGGCGGTTGTGGTTGTGGTGGAGGTGGAGGTGGCTCGTGGTGTTGCAGGGGAGGACGGGCGGGACGGAAGGGACGCTGGTGCCAGGGTTCGGACCTGTGGGGGGTGCAATGCAATGGATGGGAGACGGGAGGATGGGGGATGGGGAGAAAAATGGAGGCAAAAGGAAGGGGAATGACGCTGAGGAGAGGATGGTGGATGGGAGGTGGATGAGTAGCCAGGGCCAGGGGGATTGTGGGGGATGGGAGGGGTAGGTGGATGGAAGGGTATTATTGGATGCTACGGCCATGTTATCCGATGCTTCAATGCTCCTTCAAGATGCCTGGTGAGATCATGGCGCCTCCCATTCGCGTCTTTCCAACTCTCTCGCCTCTGGTTCTCCAAAGAAACTCTGGAGTCGACTCAGAATTTTCGTACCAATTAGTTTTGAAATCATGGTGACAAAGAATACCGGACCTACCCTTGCAGGCATGGTGAGGGGAGAAGAGGCATTGTTGGCGGCAACAGTGGCGTGACTAATGGCATCTGCTAGCAGCGCTCGCACCACCTCCTCCCCCACACTCGCATGCACCCATGCCACCATGCGCGCCTGCTGCTGTAGCGCCTCTGCTGCTGCTGCCAGGAGCTGTGGCACGGGTATGAGGAGAGTGACGGGGGGAGTGGGGAGATGGAGGTGAGATGGGTGGGTGGATGGATGCAGAGAGGTGTTTGAGATCCAAGGGTGCATTGAAAAAATGGGGGATACGGAAAGGGACAGAGGGGGGAGAGAAGCACAGTTGGCGAGGTGAGAAGCAGCAATGGAGTGTTGAAAAAAATTAATGAAAACTTTGATAAAATCAGACAAGGTAGTGGGTTGTGCAAGAAGTCATGGGGAGCAGAAGGGGATGCGGGGACAGAACGTTGCAGGATTTAGAATAGGGATACGGGTGAAGGAGAGAAGAGGGGGGAGAAGAGATGGACTAGAATAGACAAAGCAGATTCTGCGAAAGCAAGGAATGGGGAAGGGCGAGGGCAGGGGCAGGGGTAGGGGGAGGGGAAAGAACGAACGGACGAGAGAGTGGGGGTTCTGACATGGAGCAAGAAGGGGTTATTGGCGAAGGATTGGAGGATGTGTGTGTGGCGCGCTGCAGCCACCTTCCTGGGTAGCACCTGGGGGAGATAGGAGTTTGACGAGAGGAGATAGCAATGGGAGAAAAAAGAGCGGATAAATGAGATAGGGGGGCATGAGATAGGGATAGAGATAGGCAGCCACTTCTCCTCACCTCTCTCCTCCACTCAAAACCGCTCTCCCTTCTCGTCTCCCCCATCCTCTACACACCCCCCACTCGCCTCAAGGTACTGTTGCGATGTGAGGGGCAGCTCATGCGGCATGTCGGCAATGGCAGCCTGCGCTCCTGTGAAAACAACACTGAATCAACTCAACTCTCTACCAACTCAATCCCACCCCTCCCACCCCCACCCACACTCGCCTCAAGGTACTGTTGCGATGTGAGGGGCAGCTCATGCGGCAAGTCAGCAATGGCAGCGAGTGCTGCACACATGATGCCCGCACTGCCACTCGCCCTGCCCTCCGCTGCTGCCACCGCCTCTGCCACACTCGCTGCCAAGGCAGCATCCTCCGATAAAACATCACTGTCCTCCACTGCACCAGCACTGCTGCTCCCCCTGCCTCGTGCCGTGGTGTTCCGTTGACCATCCATGGTGGAGGCAGCGAGGGAAATGACAGCTCGCAGCTCTACACACACTCGCTCCACCATCACCTCTCGCTGCTGCTGCTGCTGGCTGTGCTGCAAAAGCGAATCCCCTGCGTAGGCTGCAGCACCCCCCACTCGTGCTGTGGCAGCGGGAGTGCGCATAGAAGCAGCAGGAGACGCAGCAGCAGTGGCAGTGCTGATTCGTCGCGCAGGAGTGGGAGCAAGTACGGCAGGTGTGGCATGGAGGGGTGAAGGTGAAGGCTTGCCCTCCACCACCCAATGCAGCTCGCCGGATGTGGGAGAGGTGTGGGATGGGGTGCAGTGCGGTGCGGGGGGAGGAGGCGGTGTTGGTGTGGCAGAGAGCATGGGAGGGAAGAGGCGATGGGCTGGTGGCGCTGGTGCTAGAAGCGACACTGGGGTAGAGATAAAGAAAAGGAGGGAGGAAGAGAGGGAGGGAAGGCGATGAGAATGAGAAGGAGAAATCAAGCGAAGACAGCAGGTGTATCCCAATGACACCATGCATGCAGTGACTTTTGAGTCGACTCAAAAGACAGCAGGCGCATCCCATCCCAATTACACTATGCCTGCAACGTTAATCATATCCCTAACAAGCCAGCCCATATTTCCCCACTCCCATGCCCAGACTCTCCCATATCCCAGTCCCACTGGTCCCCCCAGTCCCCCCAAGTTCCCCCTAAGTTCCCCCAGTCACTTCCGTTCCCCCAATCGCCCCCCGTTCCCCCAAGCCTCTCAAGCCCCCAGTCGCTTTCACCCCGCAAGTTCCCCCCGTTCCCCCAAGCCCCCCAAAACGCACTGAGCGCTCTGTTCTCCTCCAGCAGGCTCCTTCCCGCCCTCCCCATGCGCTCTGCTCCTGCCGCGCGCACTCCCTCCCCCCCAGCTGCAGTGCGAACGCCCCTCGCTGCTCGCCCATGAGAGTGAGAGCGCCGGCGCAGGGGGTTTGCCGATGGTGGTGCAGGGGAGAGCGGGAGGGATGCATGTGCGTTTGCGAGAGAGGCGACGAAGTGTGTGCTCTCGTGTACCAACTGATGGGTGGGGGGAGAGAAGGAAGGTCAGGGTAGGAAAGAGGGGACCGGGTATTGTGGGGGGTTGTTTACGTGCCTAACGAATCAGTTTGCAACACGAAGCGTATGCTCAGATTGTAATCAAACCCCCACCCGCAGCACCCCCCCACCTGAGTGAAATGGTGGCAGCACGTGCCACCCATGCTCCCAACCACTGCTGCCAGCTCTGCCACACACCGCAACTCGTCCCCCCTCCTCCCCCACTCCTCCTCCACCACAGCTGCTGCTGCTGCTGCTGCTGCTGTTGGTGCTCGGAGCAGGGCCGATTGAACAGCAGAGGAGGAGGAAGTGGAAGAGGAGGAAGAGGAGGGAAGGGCGTGAAGGCGCATGGAGAAGTGTTGGAAAAGGAGTGAGAGGAGGGCCTGCGAGTGGAATAGGGAGGATGGATGAGGAAGGTGGAGGGACGTTAAGGAGTGGTGAACAACCTGCGAGACAAACTATGATGTTGCAGGTTGTTTTTTAGAATTCTTGAAAACAATCTGCAACATTAAGGAGTGGTGAACAACCTTCGAAACGTCTGATCTGGACAGTGGTCTAATTACAGACCGCCTTTATATTGAGTCATAGGGAGGATGTGTGGTGGAGGAGGGACCTTACGGGAATGGCATGCGTTTTTTTAGTCGATTAAAAAATAGGGACCTTATGGGAATGGCATGCAGTGGACGAGGGAAAATCCAATGATGTGATGCATGCGTTGCATGTCATGCGAGTGATTGTGCCATTTGTGTAACGTGCGTGCAAGTATCCAGGCACGAGGGCGGTACTATTGCATGTGCACGGGCGCATGTGCCGCACGCACCTCGAGTCGAGGAGCCACCTCCACATCATGCAGCAGCAAAAGGCGTGGGTTGCACCCTGCACCTATTGAATCGACTCAGCAGTCACCTCATGTGCGCACATGCACCGCCCACCTGAGGTGCATACATGTGTACCGCACTCAGCAGTCACCTCATGTGCGCACATGCACCGCACGTACCTCCAGTCGAGGAGCCACCTCCACATCATGCAGCAGCGCAAGGCGTGGGTTGCACCCTGCACCTCCCTCCCCCCCCACAACTCCCTCGCTCTTCACTCCTCCTCCTCCTCCTCCTCCTCCTCCTCCTCGCTCCTCCTCTTGTCGCTGTAAGGCCATCAGGTGGCCTTGCTGTAGCATGCGCTCTGAATCCCCTGGCACCCATCGGAACGACGGCGGCACTACAGCCGCCACCACCACATGCATCAGCTGCAGTGCTGCTAGCGCTCCCCTCCCTGCAGAAACCATGCCATCACCATTGCCTTCAACAAAGCGAACACCAGTACTACCACCAGGAGCACCCAATCTCGCCATTTTACCCATTCTTCCTGTCATCTCCATCAATCCTGTCCCTGACATTGCAGCTTTACGCTTGCCAAGCACACGCCTTGCATTAACCCCATGCATCCCACCAGCGGCAGCAGCAGCAAGAAACCCTTGCCCTTCTCCCATATGGCACTCCACCACTCGCTGCAAATCCCCCCACCTCTGCCACAGCAACCCACACACTGCTGACACCACCGCTGCTGATATTGCTGCTGGCGTTGCAGCTGATGCTGCTGTGAGAGGAATAGAGGTCCGTGGAAAGCAGATCTGACAACCTGCCTCTTCATCTGCCTCCTCTCTCCTGCCTTGCCCCTTCCCTGCATTCCTCTTTCTCCTACATCCCTTTTCCCCACATCCATCCAGGGTATCTCGTCGCCAGTGCTGCAGCAGCAGCAGCAGCCCATCCAACTCACCGTCACCCCTCAGAACCGCATCCAACCATCCCTCGAGCAACACCAGCCTGCTACCACCGCCACCAATGCTGCTGCTGGTGTTGGAACCCCTTGTCTCCCTACCTGCCAGTGCCACGTGTGCGTCTATCACTTCACACACCAGATGTAACCCTATACTGCTCCTGCTTGCACCTGCACCCACACCCGCACCTCCACCCGCACCCGTGCCTACACGTGTGTCTGAGTGTGCACGTGTGCTGATACTTCTCCCTTTGCTTGCAACAGTCATCTGAGCCAGCAGTGAGGCAGCAGTGACTGGTGGCGTGCAGTGCAGCAGCAGCAGCTTCAGCAGCCGCCAGAGGCCTGACATGCTGTCACTAGTCACAGCAGCAGCAGCAGCGGTGGCAGCGGCAGCAGCAGGTGAATGAGCAGTAGCAGCGTCAGCAGCAGGTGCAGAGGAGGAGAGAGAGAGCAGGAGGGAGCAGAGGAGGGGAGTGTGGAGGGAGAGCGAGGAGAGGGAGGGATGCCAGCGGCGCCAGGAGAGGGAGAGACTTGTGGTGGTGGGATAGGCATTGCTGCTGCTGTTGTTAGTGGCGCTGGTGCTGCTAGCGGTGTGCTCGGGTGACCAAGGTAAAACGCCTGCAGGGGAAAAGAGAGGAGGACCATGGGTGAGATCATCGGATGTGATTTTGTGAGTGCAAGAAAGGCTATCAAATCCAAGACATGGAGATGAGAGTGTGGTGAGATGAGAGATGACGAGGATGACTAGAAACTGTATGGCATTACAAGCACGGCACGGCATGGCACCGCATGGCACCGCATGGCATGGCATGGAGGCTACACCACGCCCTAAAATGGACACAGCACAAGCGTGAATATTCAAACCCGAACGAACCTTCAATGCAGCACTTGACAACTGCTGCAGTGAGCTCAGCACAGTAATCTCCCAGCAGCGCCCCCACCTCCTCCCCCCACACCCCTGCTGCTGCTGCTGCTGCGCCTGCTGCCGACCCTTCTTCTGCTGCTCCTGCTCCTGCTCCTGCTCCTGCTCCTGCTGTGCTTCCACCAGGCTGGGTGGCCTGACCTGCACCATCCATGGCTAACCGAGTCAGCTCTGTGGTCAGGTGGACGAGAGCAGAGAGGAGGGCGGGGGCGAGGGAGGGAGCAGCCGGGCCCCTGGCAGCAAGGAAGAATCGCAGCCAAGAAGCCAGTGTGCACGTGCTGCTGGTGGTGCTGGTAGCTGTGGTGCTGCTGCTGTGACCGCGGTTGCTGTGGTAGAAACAGTTATCAGCAGTGCCGGTTTCCCTGCTTCTCTTGCTGTGTTGTTGACCTTTCACCCCGCTGGTGACTGTGCCTGTCTGAGAAGCAGAAGAAGAGCAGAGAGTGGAGAAGGAGAGAACGTTGGTTCGGATTTGATGCACAGATGGATGGATGGATGGATGGATGGATGGATAGATGGATGGATGGATGGATGGATGGATGGATGGATGGATGGATGGATGGATGGATGGATGGATGGATGGATGGATGGATGGATGGATGGATGGATGGATGGATGGATGGATGGATGGATGGATGGATGGATGGATGGATGGATGGATGGATGGATGGATGGATGGATGGATGGATGGATGGATGGATGGATGGATGGATGGATGGATGGATGGATGGATGGATGGATGGATGGATTCTAGAAACACCATTCTAGGATGGACAGAGACACAACCAGGCACGTCTAGCAGCAAGGAGACGCCAAGACAACCATAGAGAGGATGCTTCTCGGCAAGCATCGCGCACCAGAATACACTCGAAAGGCAAACATGCGACGTCCCAAAACACACCCCCTCTCATCAGCCTTTCCTCTCCCCCAACGCACACAGCACGCCTTACAATGCATACACAAGGAGGCGGTGGTAAATAGTCCTGCAACCCACAGCACCCATCCGTCTTCCCGCTATGCTGCCCCTCCACCCCAACACCCCTGGCCCCTCTCGTCTCCGCGCCCCCATCTATGCCCATGCCTGCATTCACACCCACGCCATCGCCATGGCAGCAGCAGCGCCAGAGGCGGAGCAGCGTGGCAGGGGGGGAGGACAGCAGGCGCTGCAGAGGAGACGCGGACGAGTGCTCATTTGTGGTTGCAGATTGGTGTGTGGTTGAGAACTTGTGTGAGACCGAAAGCTGGAACGTGGTTCGAGACTCGTTGGACGAGGCAGGAGGAGAGGAGGAAGTGGGGGGAGAAGAGGAGGGGGTGGAGGAGGAGAGGGCGAGGAGGACGTTGGGGGCGAGGCACACTGATCCCACTGCGAGGTGAAGAAATGCTGCCCACTGGTGAGGATGCGAGGAGCGGAGAGGGAGCAGAGAGGCGAAGGAGGTTGAGACGAGGCGAGAGTAGGAGAGGGAAAAGAGAGGTGCGTTCCTGCGGTTTGAATAGGGGGCGAGGGGAGAATGGACGGAATGAGGGAGGGATGGAGATGCGCATGGGATTCTCCAAATGCTTGAAAATGGGTGCACACTGTGATATGGGTGCACATGGTGACATGTGTGCCTGAGAACACGACAAGATGAGACAGGGGAAGAGTGGAGCACAGCACAACAGAGCACACCAAAGCAGAAGGGAGAGCGGCAACAGCAGTCACCTGGCTGCAAGGCAGTCCAATATGGTGAGGACGCGAACTAACTGCTGATCCCCAGTGACACCCATACCGACACCCTCCTTCCCCTCCTTCCCTCCCTGCCCCTCTTGGCCCTCCGGCCCCGCCTGCTCCTCCTGCCCTTCCTGTCCCTCTTGGCTTCTGAGCCGCCCTTCCTGTCCACTCTCAGCTCCCTCCATCACCGTGGCGCCATCCACAGCAGCTGCCGCACCTGGCTGCCTTCGTTCACACGCACCAGCACACGCACCAGCACACGCACCAGCACACGCACCAGCACACGCACCAGCACACGCACCAGCACACGCATGCATTCCCTTGCATTCCTTGCATTCCTTGCATTCCCAAGGAGACACGCAGGGGTGTGTGTATGTGCTAGAGTAGGTGCATGTGTGAATGAGAGCTCCCAGGACAGCATCCGTGAGCTCGGCCTTGCCACATACAAGCACGACAAGCCAATCCATTCCCACCCCAACGTCCTGTAGACCCTCACTCCCCTCGCTCCTCCTCTCTACTCCTTCCTTCCCCTCCTTCCTCTCTTGTAATTCGCCCTCTGCTCCCGAATTCCGGATGAAGCAGGCGCATGCTCCTCCCGTCTCCCCGCCCTGTCCTTCCCTCTGTGTGTGCGCGCACACAGACACACCCAGCACTCTGCACACCAGCCGTTCAACCAGCTGCCTGCACCCCCTGCTGCCCTGCACCGCACCGCCAGCAGCAGATGCCAAAGCCGACGCTGCAACAGCAGCAGGAGAAGCAGCAGGAACAGCAGCAACAGAAGAAGTGGTAACTTCAACAGCAGCAGCAGCAGCAGCAGCAGCAGCAGCATAGTGAGAGTGCGCCATAAGCAGGCATTCTTCCAGCAGTGCCACCACACGAACCACACCCGCACACTGCCTCCCTCCCATCCCTCCCCTCTCCACTGCGGAACCAGCACCCACTTCCCCCACCTCACGCCCTTCCCCTTCCTCCCCACTCCCCCTCCCGCCCCTTCTCTCCCTCTCTCCGCGCCTCCTGTCCCCCAACAAGCGACTAACCAAGCGCTCCAGCTCTGCAGTGGCCTCGCCCCGCAGCAGTCTACCCATCGCATTCGCATTCTCATTCGCATTCTCATTCGCATTCTCATTCGCATTCTCATTCGCATTCTCATTCGCATTCTCATTCGCATTCTCATTCGCATTCTCATTCGCATTCTCATTCGCATTCTCATTCGCATTCTCATTCGCATTCTCATTCGCATTCTCATTCGCATTCTCATTCGCATTCTCATTCGCATTCTCATTCGCATTCTCATTCGCATTCTCATTCGCATTCTCATTCGCATTCTCATTCGCATTCTCATTCGCATTCTCATTCGCATTCTCATTCGCATTCTCATTCGCATTCTCATTCGCATTCTCATTCGCATTCTCATTCGCATTCTCATTCGCATTCACACCGCCAGCCCCATCCCTCACTGCCTCATCCTCACTCGCTCCTCCCAGTGCCACGTCGCCCCCACCGCCCTTATCGCCCCCACCGCCCACATTGCCCCTATCGCCCATATCGGTCATGCCACCAGCACCGTCAACCTCCATCGCACCATCATCACTCTCTTCCCCTCGTGTCTCGTTATAGTCCCATCGCGATAAACTGTCAATGCACCAGTCCACTGCCTCCTCTAGCAAGCACTGCTTGCGACCCGTTGCTGCTGCTCCCACAGCTGCTGCTCCCTTCACTGCTTCTCCCACTGCTCCTCCTCCTGGTGCTGTTTCCCCCGCCGATATTTCCCCCAGCGGCGCCGCTACTGCCGGCCCTTCGACGGCCTTATCCTCACAATCTCTATCCAAACTCCTCAACCGACCAAGCAAGGCATGCCACGTGTCGCACGCTCGCGCAACCGCCAGCTCATCAGCGAGGTTGACTGGCCCTGGAACTGCGGTCGCTGCAACATCAGCAGGAGTGGAAGGAGAAGTAGCAGCAGCAGGAGGAGCAGCTGGAGGAGCAGGAGGAGGAGCAGCAGGAGTGACAGTGGGAACGGCAGGAGCAGCAGCAGCAGTAGCGGCGGCGGCGGCGGCGGCGGCGGCGTCGGGTGCCGCACTCGGTGGAATGTCGCTCTCCATGACAGGCGGCGAGCCGTCAGGCGATTTCGTATCCTCCATTGCGTTTCCCTATGCCATAAAAGGAAGGAGGAGGTTAATCTTCGGCGCCTCGCCCGGAGTGCCGGGGCACCTGACGGTCGGACGAATCGGACCTTCTGGGCTCAGAATGGACCTTGTGCCATGCGCTCTCTGCACGTCGTGATGGTCACGTCGCAACGACGACGAACATGTGCGAAATTCGTAACCGCGAATCGATGGCTCAGAGTGTGGTGTGGAGGCGAAGATTTATTTCGCTGTGAAGGGCTGTTGCTGTTGCCTGGGCTGGTCATTCGCAACAACGTGAGGCCGTGCTCAAGTAGTTCAAGAAAACAGTTCTGGTTGCAACGTGCGATTTATCGTCCAGCTCGAAGTTACTGTACTCTACAAGCGATGCACTGTAGAACACAACACTGGTATAGGCATGGAACTATAGCTACGCCGCAGCCGTTCTTTGTCGGGACAAACTTCTCCGAACCTCGAAGAATTGGTTCGAAACTCGGTCGCCCCGAACGAAAAAAACAAATCGGTTCGTTTTTCAGCAAGTTGACGACATGTGACAGACAGAACGGGGTCGTGAGGATGATGATGTCAGGACGTCGAAGGTCCTCTTGAATCGCGCGAATCCCCGAAACGCAACTTTCCTGTGTAAGGCGTCGTCCACACGGGCAAGCCCGACAGACACAGCTCCAGCCATTCCTGAGCAGCATTCCGTTCCCAGTAGTTTCGTTCCGACGCATCGCGCAGTCTGCGTAAAACACAGGATCCACAAAATCCCACGCACAACCATCGCGGTAATCTCTAGGCAAATTCCGTTAACCCCGCCTCTTCTCGGTATCTTCTTCGCTCCCTTCCAGCGCCGCCATGGGCGGGATCGTGTCCCGTCTGCGCAGCTTCCGCCTGCCGTCCGATCCGTTCAACCTCGCGCCGGGCATCGACGCCATCCTGCTGCACGAATCCGACGCCTTTCACGCCGCCGCCACCCTCACCTACTACCACTTTGCTCTCCCGCCGCACCATTTCGACTCCGCGGGCGGCGCCGCCAGTCCCGGCGCTGGCGGCGCTGGCGGCGGCGGCGCGTCTCGAGACGATCGTTCATCTGCGCGCGAAGCCCCTCCGCCCGCGAGCGGAGCGGGGACAAGCTCTGCCGGGAGAGGCGGAGGGGCTCTTGGGGCAGGCGCTTCTGGGGAAGGTGGAGGCGGGGATCGGGGGGGCGGATGGAGGGGTGGGAGTGGGGGAGGAGGCAGCGGGGGTGGTGGCAACAGCAGCAGCGGGAGCAGCAGCAGCGGAGGCGGCGGCGGCGGCGGTATGGTGTGGCGGTTCCAGCTGGTGGACGCGGTGCAATGGCTGCACCAACACGTCCGCGACGCCGCTGCTGCCGGTGAGGGGAGGGGAAGGGGCGGGGGAGAGGGGGGTGGGTGGCGGTGGAGAGGAAAGAAGTGATGCGTGGGTTGGTAGCAAGGGTGGTGGGTGGTGGAGTGGTATCAGGTGGTACTGGAAGAGTGTTGCACGCATATTGTGGTTCATTTTGCAGATGATGAGCCATTGGTAGATCTCAGACGAAATTGCTCGTGTACCTGTCATGTCATGCCATGGCATGCTTCTACCCTCCCTTTCCCTGCTCTCCCTTTCCACTTCCCCTCCCTCCATTGTCGAACCTCGTCTTCCTTTCCCTCCACCCATCCATCCACCCCGTCATCCCCTCTCTCAACCAAACGACCCCTCCACTCGCCCCTTCCACCTCCATCTCCACCCCTTTCCCCTTCCCAATTCGCACCTCTCCCCGCCCCCACCACCTACAGGAGACATTCCCGAGGACGACCCGCTCCTCGCCTTCCTCCGCCGCTTCCTCCCGCGCTCCCCGCCCACGCGACTCGACATCAACCGCGCCTTCTCCCTCCTCTCCTCCGCCCAACGCCGCTCTGCCTCCCACCGCGGCCTCTCGCTCGCGCTCTTCCACACAGTAGCCGCACACTCCCTGCGCTGCGCCGCTCTCCGCCGCCTGCACACGCGCCTGCTGCTCCTTGTGCCCTGCGCCGCCTCCTGCTCCGCCCTCGCCTCCCTCGCGCTCTTCTCCGCGCTCGGAATTACCCGACCCAGGCTCGTCGAGAGGCTCGAGAATCCCGAGAAACTCGGAGATATGAGGAATCTGGGAAATCAGGGGAGTGTGGAGAGTCTGAGGAGGGAAGGTAGTGTGCGGGGTAGTGGTGGTGGTGAGGGAGGGAACGCCAGCACAGGATGGAGATGGCCTGGCTGGTCGTTGCTCCAAGCTCGGCCTTCCAGGGATGTAACGCCTACACCACAGGGTAGCAGTGCACCACACAGCATCTCACAGCACCGATCCTACCATGCGCCTCCGTCTGGGTCTGCTGCTGGTGGGGGTGCTGCTGCTGCTGCTGCTGTGGGGGTGGTTGGTGTTGATGGTACAGGAGGAAGTGGGGTGGTGGTGAGGAGGGTGAGAACTCTAGAGCTGACTGAACCACTGCCTAGGAGGGTTGTGGTGATTCCATCTCTGCTGCTTGGCGCAGCCATTGGGGCAGCTCTGGCCTTGCACTTGTAGCACTGTCTATGAATTTCTGTTTTTTGGGTGGCAGGGGCTGTGAGGAGGGACTCAACCCTGTACTGTATTTGTACCGTGGATATATGGGGTTTCAGGCACAGCATATCACGGTAGCAGAATTGGCTCGCACACGCACGGTATGACATTTGTTCATGTGCAGAATAATTCATCGACCGTATCTCAGCCTAATCCGTTAACCTTATTTCAGAAAACTGTAGCAACGTTGCTGAAAGCAAATGTATGAGTAGATTCGGAACATGCTGCATGTCTAACTCAGTTTCCCTGGTCTTTCAGAAGTCAAGTTGAAAAATGTTGCCAGCCAGCCAGGCCAGAAATTAGCAGGAAAACAAATACGGCCATGCTTCATAACAAGTCAATTCTGCTGCTGCTGCTGCTCAGCTGCTGCTGCAACTGCCACTGCTGCTGCACCAACCTTGCACCCCGTTTTTGCTGTCAGTTAAGTTACTTGTAAAATGCCGCCATTAATATTCCATGTGGGGCACACACTTGCTTTAATTTTGGCGCCTCAATTGACAAATTTCTAGGTGCCTCAGACAGGCGCCTAAGAAAAAAACCCCACACTCGCCCTTGCCCTGCCACATGGGACTCGATATCACAGCCGCACAGAACCACTCCACGCATCTCCTCCGTCATTCTCCTCCTTATTGAGCTCACTTACGCATCCACCGCACACCACTCCCCTGAACCACTTCCCCTCCACCACTTTTTCTTGGACAAACTCCCTTGCACCTCTCCTGGATTGCACATTCCTTCCCATCTGCTCATCTGCCCACTGTCGCAACACTACCCTAATCAGCTCACTCTGACTCCCCCTGAACGCCCCCCCGCTCCCCTTCTTCTCCCCGCACTCTACTCAAACCTCGACTGCCCCCCTTCGTCTCTTCCACTCAACATCTCGTCCCTCTTACCAGATCTTCCCACCTCCCAACTCTCTCTCCCTGCCTCCTTCCTCTGTCCCTCTCCTCCCTCCCAAATCTCTACCCTGCCCGCACCCCGCTGGTCCCACCACCACCTCCCACTCCCCGCGCTCCACCCATGCCCCCACCGCTGCCCATCATGCCACCTCCTCGCTCTAAGGACCCTGCTCCCCTCGCATGCGCATGGTTCTGTGAGGCCAGAAGAGCTGTGTCGATAGACCGCGTGCGGGATAGAGCTCCCAACCCACCACCGCTGCCCCCATATCCTCCTCCACTGCCACCGCCACCACCACCAACGCCGCCGCCGCTGCTGCCCGCGCCGAAAGATGTCTGCAGACCCTGCTGCTGCTGCTGTTGCTGTTGCTGGTAGTGCTGCTGCGACATGCCGCTTCCTCCACTGGCACCTCCACCACCACCACCACCACCGCTGCTGCTTTTACCAATCTGCACGAGAGCATCTGATGAGTTGGCTCTGCGGAAAAACGACTGCGGCGTGCCTCCCACCGACCCGCTCCTCCTCATGCCGTAACCACCACCCCCACCCCCACCCCCACCCCCACCCCCAGCCCCACCCCCAGCCCCACCCCCACCCCCACCCCCACCGCCACCCCCACCGCCACCGCCACCGCCACCGTTGCCGGCAGCACCACAGGACGGGTTCTCCTCGTCACTGCCCGGTGCGCGCGCGTCGTCGTCGGGAAAGTTCCTGCGGCGCCGCGGCATGGCTCCAGAGCGCGTGCCGGGGAGAGGGGGCAGCGGACTCACTGCACTCATGTCTGCCGGCCCTTCTGCTGCTGCTGCTGCTGCCGACGTTGATGGTGATGATTTTTATGATGATGCGGAAGGTGGGTGAGAGGGAGGAGGGAGAAGGAGGATAAGGGAAATTGGGAGAGGGGAGAATGGTATGGGGGCAGGAAGTGAGGGAAACGGAGAAAAGGTGAGAGGAGTGGAGGAATATTTTGGACAGTTGGAAGAGAAATGACAATAGGCATGGCAAGGCAAACTTAGAATCACGTGTGGTTGTTACACCACAACACAACACACCAAACCACACCACAACACAACGCACTGCACAGCACCACACCGCATGATACCACACCCACCGCACTGCACCGCACCGCTGCGCACCACACCACACCACACCACACAGCACCGCACCCACCTGCTCCTTCACCAGAGTACTGGGAGAAATCGTCATAGAAAGCCGTGCCTGCTGCTGATGCCTCTGTTACCAGACCGTGGCTCAGCGCATGCCCATCACTGGAACTGCGCAGCAAACCCAACCCTCCCCCTCCCACTCCTGCTCCCCCTCCTCCTCCTGCTCCAGCCCAAAACCCTTCCCCTCCACCATTCCCACCATTACCAGTAGGAGCAAACCCATAATTATCCGAATCCCTGGACCCTAACCCACCACCACCGCCACCGCCACCACCACCGCCACCGCCAGCAGCAGCAGCAGCAATAGCATTAGAGGAAACGTGCGAGGAGTGAGAGGAGGGGCGGGGGAGGCCCTGGGGGCTGATGCGCCTAATGTCAAGGTCAGGGAATTCCAGAGGGGAGCCGCCACCGGCACGGTAACGCTGCTGAGGCAGGGGAGTGAGGGATCCGCCTCCTGACAGGCCCTTGCGCCTGCCTGTGGCAGTGGCACTCGGGGGTAGCTCCATAGACGACGTGCGTGATAACCCTGCCAGCCCTCCCCCTCCTCCCCCTCCTCCTGCTCCTCCTCCTCCTCCTCCTCCTCCTCCTCCTCCTCCTCCTCCTCCTCCTCCTCCTCCTCCTCCTCCTCCTCCTCCTCCTCCTCCTCCTCCTCCTCCTCCTCCAGCTCCTCCTCCCCCACTGCTACCTCCGCCTCCTGCTGCCCCTGCTCCGGTCGACCGCTCCGCTAGTCCCCCGCCTCCCCCCCCTCCTCCTGCTGCAACCCCACTCGATGTCCGCCCGTGTTTCACATTCCCACCAGCAGCAGCAGCATCGGGTTCGCTGCTGTTCAAGGCAGATGCACCCGTTCGGAGGTTGAAGTCGAAATCCGAGGAGTGCGAGTGCTCCATGCGCATCCTCCGCGGCCCCACCACCCCCCGACTCACCACCACCCCCCCTCCTCCCGCTCTCGAACCCCCTGCCGCTCCACCTGCCCCCCCCCCACCGAACGCACCACCACCGCTGCCAGAGCTACCAAGACCACCACCTGTTGCCCCTCCTCCCCCTCCTCCTCCTCCGAGCCCTCCTCCCCCTACCGTTCCCCCGAATCCCATGTCTGGCTCGATTGGCTTCACCCGTCCCAGTGTGGCATTGTCAAGTGTTGCGGTGCGCACAAACTGGGGGAACGCCTCTGCTGTTGCTGCAGCCGCCGCAGCAGCAACGCTGCTCCTGCTGCTTGCACTGCCGCCGCCGCCACCACCACCACTGGCACTACTTGAGCCAGCCCCAGCACCATGGGTACCAGCAGCGGCAGAAGCAGAAGCGGAAGTATAAGAAGAGCTGCGGGGGTTGCGATCTAGAGTCGACACTCGGAGGTACATGGACGGAGTAAGGTCCGTGGATAGGGTTCTCTCTATCGGTTTCAGTTGGGGAGAGGCAGCAGAGGACGCGGCAGAGGGGTGCTGCGAGTGGTGGGAGATGGGAGAGAGGGAGGGAGCGGTGGTGGAGGAGGAGGAGGAGGGAGGAGGGGTGGATGCAGGAGGTCTTCTGGGGAGATAGCTGAGTGTTAGATCCGGGTCGGAGTGACCGGAAACGCGGTTGGCATAGAGAGAGCGGGGGGCGGTAGTGAGGGAAGGGGATGCGGAAGCAGGGGGCAGGGCGGTAGAGTGGTAGTGCTGCTGCTGCTGATTCTGCTGCTGCTGCTGCTGGGAGGGTTGATAATGCTGAGGCGGATGCTGTGGAGGGTGGTGGGGGTGCTGCTGCTGGTGGTGGTGGTGGTTGTGGTGCGAGGAAGAGTGGTGGGTGTGGGCGGAGGTATCCATGCTCACGCCCAGGCTGCGATGGGATATGAGACCGTTGCTCTTGGTGACGCTCCACGGGTCATACTGCATGCAGGCATGCACACATGCACACAAGCACACATGCACACACACACACACATGCACGCATGCATGCACACACGTGCACATGCACACATGCACGCACATAGCACACACACACACATGCGTACACACATGCATGCACGCACAAACACATGCACACACATGCATGCATGCTCGGCCGGGTGCGAGCGCGCTTGCACACATACACACACCAGCAGAAGTTAGCAAGCACAGCAGCAGTGGACAAACAGCCACGCACGCAAGCAGATGAGAGAATAGAAGAGTGTGAGTGGAAGCAAGAAGGAAAGGGTGTGCACAGCAGGAAGGATCAGCAAAGGCGACAAAGGGGGCAGGGAAGTGTAGGAAAAAAAACAGAAATTAACCTATGGGAGAGGTGCCTAGAGAAAGGCAGCATGAGCGGGGAAAGTGGGGAAACGATACTGAGAGGAGGTAGAAGTGACGCGGGGTTACAGTGGCGTGAGCGAGCATCCGAATGGGTGCAAGGCGGAGGAGAGAGGAGGGGGCAAGGCGCGAAAAAGGACGGGAAGAGAGGAGGCAGGCGGGAGGAAAAGGGAAGTGGGAGGGGGGGAGGAGTGGAGGGGAGGGAGGAGAGAGGAAGAAGGGGGGCAGGGGGGTGGGGGGGAGGAGAGACGGGAAACGAAAGGGGGTTTGGTAGGTGAGGTTGGTGCGGTTTGGTCGGTGAGAGTGGTGGTGTGTGGTTGGTAGGCGAAGAGGAGGGGAGGGGTGGTGGGACCTCAGACCTGGCAGAGAGGGCAGCAGAAGCTCTTGGAAGAGGAGTCCTTCTCGAGAGCATTGACGGTGCAGTGGTGCCCGCACACACACCAGAACCTTTTAAAATCTCTCAAAGGTCCCCAAAACCACGAACCTGGCAGAGAGGGCAGCAGAAGCTCTTGGATGCGGGGTCCTCTTCCAGAGCATCGATGGTGCAGTGGTGCCCGCACACACACCAGAACCACACCTCCTCCAGTAATGCGTCCACTGCTCCCCTTGCATGCGGCTGCACATGCACACGCACATGCACATGCAGCGGCACATGCACATTCACATGCACATGCACATGCATACGCATACCCAGCAACACATCAGCAATACGTGCATACCCCGAAGCACATGCACCCTCAGAAGCACATGCACCCTCAGAAGCACACGGTTGTAACACCAGCGTGGGCCAGAGAGAGAGGGGACAGGGAGTGAGTGAGTGATGGGCTGTGGGTGAAAGGATGCGCAGACAAGGAGATAAGGAGAGAGACATGCAGAGCTCTATGGGAAGAGCAGAGCGAAGGCCAGGCAACAGGGGGTGGACAACTTAAGCTAATCTTGTGGATCCGAGATGAGTTGAGTGGAGCCATCCAGGTGAAATGGAGCAACGTGGAATTGAATAGACATGGGATGACATGACAAGGCAAAGGCACGCACACATCAGTTGCCTGGCGGGATGCCCACAGGTGGGTTACATGATCCACTCAGACAACTCGTTAATCCATCTGCGAGCCTGTTCGTTTGCATTGCAGGCTTAGATTTGCACCACCGATCACAAGCTTGACTTTTTGTTTGTTTGTGTCTGAAATGGTTTTTGAGCAATCGACCAGCCAGGCCCATGGCAACCACGCATGCAGTGGACTGTGGAACAACACACCAGAAAAACACATTGGAACTGCATGACTAGCAACACTTTTATAATACTGCTGACGGCTCGAATGGGAAGCACACACACGTGTCGCAATAAGTGTCGCCCATGGCCCAGCCCTTCTTGATTGATCAAGCTTTGCCCTTGAAACCCCAACCGAGTGTAGATAAGATAAGCTGACTGGACCTTTTCAGAATTCTCAAAAGTCTCACCTCGCCACACTCCCCATGCCCTGATGACACGCCCCCTCTCCCCCTCGTCTCTCCTCGCTTTCCCTTGGCCCACGACTCTCACCTTCAACGTGTGGTAATGGGACTCTTGAGAACCCACATTCCATTTCCCTTTCCCTTTCCCTTTCCCTCGTCTCTTTCTTGTGGGCGCTCACCCCATTGCCCTAACCCCGGAAATGTAAACAGAACACACGAGTCAAGGTGAGGGGGGCGACGAGGGGGCGAAGGCAGGCATGTTTCCAGTCAACTCTCGCCCTCCCTTACTCAAATGCTCGCCCTTGCCCTCCTTTACCCGCGTCCCACGCCTCCCTCTCGCCTTGACCGTGAGGCGACGGTGTATTCCGAGCAAAAACTCGAATTCCCCCTTATCCCCCCTTCCCTCTCCTCCCCCTCCCCCCGCTCCCCCCTGCTCTCCCCCACTCCCCCTCCTGCCCTCGCGTATCAATCGTCCCTCGCGCGTGTCTCTCTCTCTCTCGCGCGCGCGCGCTCACCTTGACCGTGAGGCAGAAAGCGCAGTCGGTAAGGCCCTTGTTGAGGCGCCGTCCCACGCACGCGAAGTGCGACTTGTGCCCGCACTCCCACCCCACCACCGGCAGCTCGCGAATCGCCAGCGTGCACGTCGAGCACGTCCCCATCGCCGCGCCCCCCGCTCCTCCTCCTCCTCCGCCGCCGCCGCCGCCGCCGCCGCCGCGCCCGCTTTGCGCGGTCCTGATGGGTGCGAGGGGTTCGGAAAATTGCGCGGTCGGAAAGCGAGGGAGAAAGTGAGGGGGAATGAGAGAGAGAGAGAGAGAGAGAGAGAGAGAGAGAGAGAGAGAGAGAGAGAGAGAGAGAGATAGAGAGAGAGAGATAGAGAGAGAGAGAGAGAGAGAGATAGAGATATAGAGAGAGAGATAGAGAGAGAGATAGGGGGAGGAGGAGGTGGGAGGAGGGAAGGAGAAGTGGAGGAAATGAGGAGGAGATGGGAGACGAAGGGAAGGAGGCAGGCGAAGAGAGAAAGAGTGCGCGAAACGGAGGAGAGGGAATACGGCGGCACGCCGAACGACTTTTCCGCACAGCAGCACGCACCTGGTCCCATGGTGCGCAGAGCTCCTCTTGCCAGCACCACCAGCAGCACCACCACCACCCCCACGATGCCTCCCGCCCGTGCCCGACAGCCCATCATCTCCCACCGGACTCCCATCCCTGCCCGCGCCCGCGCCGTCCCTGCCCGCACCACCGCCGCCCGACAATCCCGATGCCGCCAACCCCGCAGCGCCAGCGTCGCGCGCGTCTCCGGCGGCGTCTCCGGAGAGCACGGAGGGGTCGGAGGAGAGGTGCGACGCGACGAGCGAGAGCGGCACGTCGATGCGACTGCGAACGGCGTCCACCCACAGTCGCACGCCGTCCTCCGTCACCTTGAGCACCTCGCCGTAGCACCACCTCGTTTTGGAACACTTCACCAGAATCACATCCCCAGGAGCGTACGGACAGGCGGTCCAGCACTCCCGCTTCCCGCCACCTCCCCCACCCCGCGCGCCGGATCCCCCTCCCGCTGCTCCGCCATCACCCCCTCCCCCTCCTCCCCTTCCCCCCCCCCCCTCCGCCGTAGCCTCCCCAGTCGTCATTCGTGTCGCCGTTTCTGTCGCCGTAATCGTTGTACCTGTCTATCCAGTCCTCTGGAATGGCTTGTCTAGGATCCAACGAAACGGAACGGTGCGACCTTAACCCACCACCGCCGCCGCCGCCGCTAACAGCGGCCCCATAACCACCGCCGAAACTCCTCTCGTATCCCGTGGCGCTGCTTTCCATTCCTGTTCCGTCCGATGCGGCGCTGATCCCAGTCCCCCATCGTCGACCGCCTTGCCCATCTGAATCCTGAAATCCCCTCATCTGTCTCGTGGATGTACGAACGGGCCTTAGGGCTGCGTAGTGGCGACAGAAGGAGCCGAAGGAACCGTCAAGAGACCGTCGAACTCCACGTTTGAGAATTCTCGAAGGGGACTTGTTAAGCGAGGCACGTTAAGCGACGCTCGTTCGGAGCGGCACGTTCGGCGAAGGACGCTGCACGCGAAGATGTGAACAAGACGCATTGGCTGATGTGTTAGAATCTGCGAAACGGACGCTAGATGTTCAGGGCTGAAGTTCCCTCCTACTACCACAGGCTGCTGCCGAATTTGGTTAAGCTGGTGTTCTTGGAAGGGGTCAGCAAAGGAAAGTCAGTGAAGGCAAACAAGGTCCGTCTGTCGTGAGTCGTGACGGAACACCGTATCAAGAAAAAAACCGGGTAAGAACCTTCTCGGTTGGCACTGAGACGACTCAGACTCTCATCTCATGGCTGAGTGAAGCAGAACAGAAGCAGGTGCGTGACGAAACATGTTGAAGCATCAACTTAGTTCAACTACACTAACGTGAGCAGAGCAGAGCTGAGCAAGGGGAGTACACTGTACATAAAAATGGAATCTGCTGCTCACAACCACACCTTCACCAGATACAGTACGGACGGGGGGGACTCGGGGGGTAATGCTAGGAGGACTGAAAATGCTGCACGTGCTCTCTGCATTTCGAACCAAGGATGAGGTTGACGGCGGAGAGTACCCCATTTGTTAACGAAAGATCACGAACGATGTCAAACGGTAACTAGAGTTTATATTTGAGTGTGCGACAACCACTGTGACGACCAGACGATAAACGAGACTTATGGTCCGACATCGCCACTGGGTCAGCTGAGACTTCCGCGAACTACTGTAACGACCCTGCTGAGGAGGGAGGTGGGTGGAGCACTCTGTTCCAGTCGCAGACGCGCGGAAGCCAGGCTGCACGAAGTTGTTACGGTAGGACGGAAACGATACGTAACGAAACCGAATCCATGATTGCAGCTGCAGTGATTTCCGCGGTTTTTGTTGACCACAACCCTTGCTCCTCCCTCCGCACTCCAGGTTGGCCAGTTGCAGTTTTGGAATTCATGGGATCATAGATAGCGTGTTCTGATATGCTAGTACGTGTGACAATGGAATGCTATAATTTTCAACAATGGGCTGAATGTCACTTCCAGCACTTAGGGTGCATTCCTGCGTCTACATTTGGGTCTCAATCCCCTTTTTCCCAAGTCGCGCCTGTAAATCTGCAAATTTGCGTGTCACAAACAGCTGATGTATCTCTACTTAGTGCGACTGATTAGGAGGTACAGTTGGCCCAATTTTATTGGTGAAGACCTAACATTATTGGAAGATAAACGTAGAACATATATCAGCAGAAGGAGATGAAGAGATTGGAGGAGGGATGACAGGACAGAGTTGGAAATCGTGGGTGGGGTTTTGCGTGCAGGTATGCGGGATGGGCGAGACAGTTGGCTAGTCATGAAGTTGCTCGGGAAGGGCGGTTGTTCCTCCCGCTCGAGACTGTGACATGTGTTGGAATAACCGAAAGGTTATTATAAACATTCCCGAAGGTTCTCCACTCTCGCGTCACTCCATAACGAAGAGCACGCCTGTACCAGTACCGCAATAGCTCATATATGTTGGGAACAATAAGTCTTAAGGCGCCTCTGTCGTGTCGAAACTCAGGACACTAGCGAAGCAGTCCAAATCGAAGCATCGCGAGTCAACCCTCGGAGGTTAGGGTAACCGCCTAGAGGTTACGGGAAAGTCAAAGGTCAGCGACCTTTGACTCGACAATTACAGCGCGACAGCAAGGACACACAACTGACTCGACATTGAGCAGTTGCCCGAGTCGCACTGTATCGAATCGCAACAGTAAAACGGTTTGAATCTATCTATTCGTATTCCTTGTACTCTTATATAAACCTTGTATTTGCTTGTTTTAATTAACTTACTTTGCTCTCACATACTAGTGCAAGGTGGTTCAACCACTCTGTATTACAACGCTTCCGCTATTACAATCCTACTCAGTCCTTAAACTCTACAAAGATCCTAGGGCTTCTCAGCCCAACATGGTATGAGAGCAGTTAGAGTTTAAGATCATTTTCTCTCTCCATACTTAAATACAAAGAAAGAAGACATGTCTGCAACGAAGGAGAGGAGCTCCTCCAACGGCTCCCCAGGCACTACTCCTACTCCACCTCTTGCCTCTGGCCTACAGACAGAGGAAGGCACTACCACAAGACCAGCAGCTGGGTCCACGGAAACACCAGCAGGCTTCGATTCAAACATGATGGAGAAATTTTTCTCCTTCATGTCCTTCTACGAGCAACACCAGCAAGGAATGCCTGCGCAGTCAAACATCAGCAACAACAACAACAATGTTACTCCGATGAGCCTCGACGGCTCATCCTATGCACGCGGGATGCAACAACAACAACAGCAGCCTACCTTTGCGCCGTACGAGCCCCAACGTGGCTCCGTCAGCTTCATGCCGCAACCGCAACCTGCATCGGGACAAGAAAGGACACTGGACGCGTTACAAGTCCAATCGCAATTCGCGCACGTCCTAAAACTACAAACGACAAAGCCTTTCGACGGCAAAGTTTTCTTTACCTGGTTGTTCGAGTTTGAACTGATGATGGAAGGAGCACAGATTCTTGGCTTCTTCGACGGGTCCCTGCCATATCCGACAAACGGGACACAATATGAGAAGCACCAGTATACATATCAATCGATGATGGCGTACACGATTCTGCTGAGGAACATCACCCCAACCCAGCACCAGAACATCAGGACTTACCGAGGCTACGGCAACTCCGCGGAGCTCGCGTACAACCACCTGAAGAACCTGTATCAAGCAACAGACAGCGTAAATCAGAGCAGGTTAATGGCGCAGTTGACAACGATTGAAATGAAACCAGGCGAGAAAGGCATGGCTTATACCAGCCGCTGCCGCGAACTGCGCGACAAGCTTCTTCGATGCGGCGGGTCAATTTCAGAAGACGCCTTTGTCACGGTGGTCATCGGCGGTCTCGGCCCCCACTGGCGCTCCACTCGCGCCATATTACGAGCACACGGGAGGATCTCCGAAGCGGCACTCTGCGCCGAAATTCATGCTGAGCAGCAGGACATGGACCTGCAAGAAGAAAGACACAAGAAGAAAGCTTTAGCACCAGAATTTGCTTTTCACACTCAGCGACGACACAACGGCAACAACAATCGACAACAGCAAGTGAAAACAGTACCTCCGTTCTGCCACATCTACAAAACCTCGGGCCATCCTCGCACGCATTGCCCGTCTCGTCAGACGACACCACAGCGACAACTGCGGCCTTCAAGCTCCCAAGTTGCTTCAACGCAAGCAAGTCCGACAACCACGATCCAAGCTTCAACGACTTCAACTGGACAACCTGCACAAGGAGCAAGAAGCATCGTCAACTGCATGGTAAAGATAAACGATTCCTGCATTACAGAGTCGCCACCCTACTACTCACCAGAAGAGGAGCTCGACAACAGGACGCCTCGCCGCGAATCACTCCAGCCGAATCCGACGTACGCCGCCATCGCTCAAAGCGAACCGTCCGGCCAAGACAGTTGGTTCTTGGATAGTTGCTGCGGACAACACATGTGCTCCTCCGGGCGCTTCGTACAACGCGAACATCGACTCCAGCGAGAAGTAGTCATCACGGTCGCCAACAACCAGAACCTGCGCACAAGACGACAAGGAGTCGTTCAGCTTCAATCAAGAGAGACCAACGTTATACTACACATGTCAAAAGTACTCATCGCAGAAGGACTCGGTTACAACTTACTGAGTGTTAGCCAGCTGATGGCGAAGGGGATTCACTTGGAAGCCGACAGCACCACCCAGGAATTTAAGTTATACCACGGGAGGGGCGGCCTCTACATCGGGAAAGCAGTGTTGAAGAATAACGTCTTCGTTCTTGACTTCGTCCCCGACCTGGGCACTGCAGACAGCGACGCCATCGTAAACTTTACCGACTGGACACACCCTCCGGACCTCGATCCTGATTTCAGTCCAGGAGGCTTCTGGTACTCACACACCATCCCTGAAGCAGAGCGAACACGAGCATTAGCAACAATTCAACAATCGACAGCAGCAGAGACAACATCGGCAGCAGCAGAGACAACATCGGCAGCAGCAGAGACAACATCGGCAGCAGCAGAGACAACATCGGCAGCAGCAGAGACAACATCGGCAGCAGCAGAGACAACATCGGCAGCAACAACAACATCGGCAGCAGCAGGAACAACGACACCAGTCATCGTCGACGAAACACCACCAACACCCGCACAACAGCTGAACCCAACTCAACGAGAAGTCCACCGCAGCGCCAACTTCGTCGCCAGCTTCTACTCCAACTCCGACGCATATCAACGTTCACCCGGACACCGCGCCTCCGAAGACATCTGGCACGCACGCACAGGACATCCAAGTAACACGGTGTTAAATAATACGATACGAGCAGGAGTGCTAGACAAAGACTCGCTACTACTACTCGACGGCAGAGAACTTCAACGTGCACGGGGGACTTGCCTCATCTGCCCCGAGGCCGACTTACCACATCGACCTTTTTCTTCTCACCACAACCCGAGCGCACCTGCATACGCACCACTCGAAAAAGTCTACAGCGACATCCTCTACAATCGAGAACCAGGCCAAGTAACCTATAATTACACGATTACCTTCATCGACGCCGCCACTCGATACGTCTGGCATCGCAACCTACCCAGCCACGACATGGCACTCGCAGCATTCGCCGCTTGGCTACCGGTAGCAGAAAGGGAATCAGGAACGCAGGTGAAAAGCTTCCAGTCAGACGGAGGTGGCGAATACACCTCTCAGCGCTTCAAGCAGTACCTGGCGGAAAGGGGGATCAAGCAACTCCTCTCCCTTCCCTACGCACA